GTCATTCCCAGCAGCCTTTTGGAATCTTCTGTTCAGCTCTTTAGTATCTTGAATTCTTCCTTGTGCTTTGGCTTCTCTATGCTCCAGTGCAATCTGATTGCAAATGCAAATAGAACGAAAAAAAGAAGCAGACAACACTACTCTAGTAGTAGAAGTCTTCAATACACCACTTTCAAGGAAATATAGGACTACCAGGAGAAACTCAACAAAGATTCTGAAGAGTTAAATTGCACAATCAACCAACTCAATTTTATAGATATATACAGAGTAAAGCTCCCCAAAAAGATGAGTATGCATTCTTCTCCTGCACACAGGGAACATTCTCCAGAATATATCATATTTTAAGTCACAAAGTAAATCTGAGTAGATTTAAAAACATAGACATAATACAAATAATTTTCTGAGGCCACACTTTTACAAAACTAGAATTCAACAACAAGAGGACAAAGGAGAAAAAAGAAACTATATACCTGGGAGCTGAACAATACCCTGCTTGAACATGCATAGGTAATAGAAGAAACAAAAAAATAAACAAAGCAAACAAACAAAAAAAGATGTTAAAAAGATCCTTGAAACAAATGAGAATGGAAGCATAGCTTACTAAAATCTCTGAGATACAGCAAAAGCTTCACTTAGAATTCAATTCATAGCAATAAGCAAACACATTAAAAGGGAAGAAAGAAAATTGATTATTTAACTCAACATCTCCAACACATAGAAAAAAAAACCAGCAAAATAACCCAACACATCTAAAAGAAAAATCAGGGCAAAAATAAATACAGTAAGAACCAGAAAATAAATTGGAACTATCAACAAGACCAGGAGAAGTTCTTTGAAAAGGTCAATAAAATTGACCAACTGCTAACAAAGGAAAAGAAAGAAGAGATTCTGATAATCCAAATAAGAGATTAAAGGGGCACTGTCACAACAGATCCAACTGAAATAAAAAGGTTAACAATATGAAAAACTATACTCAAATAAATATAAAAACCTAGAGGAAGTACACAAATACGTAAAAACTCTCAACCTACCCAAACTGATACAGACATAAAACACCTGAGCAGACCCATTACAAAAGAAAAAATTGAACAGGTCATAAAACATCTTCCAAAAGAAAAAAGCCCTGGACCAAATGGTTTTACTACTGAATTCTATCAAACATTAAGAGAAAAACCATTATCAATTCTACATAAAGTATTTTTAAAAATAGAAAAATATGGAATATTCCCACACTCATTCTATGAAACACATCTATCCCTGTTATGAAAGTCAGGTAAAAACACTACAAAAATATAAAACTCTTAAGACAATGGCTCTCATGAACATAGATGCAAAAATCCTCAATAAAATACTGGCCAAGAGAATCCAACAGTACATTTAAAAAAAAAATAATTCACCATCACCAAGTGAAATTAAAACAGGTATACA